ATTCACTGAGAACTCCTGCATTTACTGAGAACTCTGGAGATACAGCAGTTTGAGCAGAGCAGGGAGAGAACAGCACGTGCACAGTGTCTTAATAAATTCTGGACATGCTGACCTCATTTCACATGCTGCCTGCATCCAGAAACAAGTGCAGTAACCCTGTTATAGGAAACACAGAGACCGTGTGCAAGCCAACCACAGCTTTAGGGCTGTGTGACACATGTGCTGATCTTACTCATGCTGCCTGTGACACATGCATTTGATATGTGCTATTGCCTAAGGCGCTAGAGGTCATAGGTTGAGTTTCTGTTATTCCTGTGCTATTTTTACGAAAGACTGAATCAAAACATATAAAACCGTCCCATAGCTTATAGGCAGCTCGTTGTCCACAGGACCTGCTAATGGTGATCTTGTCTATAGAAAACTAAAAATCTGGAATCAAAAATCCATTGCTGCTCACAGTATGACTGCCAGAAAACTGCAAATAGAATTGACCAGAAAGAAGAGCTTTCACCTGTAGTTTTCTTGTGAAGTTTGCAGGCAGGAACATCCCAGGAAGCAGTGTTTTCAATAAGGGACAGCTGGTTCTGTTTCAGTTGGTAACAAGAGCTTGTAGAGCTCTTCTTGAGACCTGTTTTCAGTCATTTTATTCATAGCACGGAAACTATAATTATAAAAATGTAAGATCTTTAGATCTGCTAGTCTGTCATCAGAATTAGCAATGTGGACGTGCATATTGCCAATAAGGCTGTAATATTTCACTTCAGCACTGAATTTGGATTTAATTTTCCTGCACCTGCCAATATGCTGATCATCACAAAAATGCATCTGTTTGAAGGGCACTGCTGGGTGCCAAATGGGAAAGCAGACAGAGATGCTGGCTAATTTCATACTCCTCTCTAGAAGTTTCCTAACCGCAGGTATGGCCTCAGTGTCCACAACGAAACCTTCCAGGGAGTATGCATTTTTTCCAAGCACAGACCTCCTCTAAGGCTTACACTTCTCAGGAGCAATCAGAAGTCCTGACATTCACACCAGGAAGAAAAGCTCACCACTGCCAATGATTCGTCATATTGCCCAGATAGGCTCTGGAGTCTCCTCCTTGGAGGCCTTCAAAGCCACCCTGATCCTTTCACCTCAGCCAGCCTATGGTTCTGCGAAAAGGCTGGGTTCAGTCTTAGTACAAAGAACAAACAATATTAACTGATAACACTAACAACATTCTTATCTCTGGCTAGGGACGTTTTGCAACAGTCTGTTGTGGGTTTATTCACCAGTGAGTGCCTCTCAAATCATGGGACAGCCCAGGCATTTTCTACTTTCACTGCTATTAATATTTAGTATAACCCACATACTGCTGAAAATAGTACCAAAGGAGATACATAAATAACTTCCAATCAATTTTTAATTTACTATGTCAAGTTTTATCAAGCCAAGTCTCGGCCAAAGTAACCTTGCCTGAGTTAATTGAATGTAATGTCAATAAACAGAATGGCAATTTTAGCAATGCAGAATAGAGTATTTCTGCTGTGGAGCTGTATAATTTTTGACATTGTAATTAAAAAGCAATTACCTTTGCTCTGACGTAATTTGTCATGCTGTACATCTACAGATCAAAATCAGTCATCTCCCAATAAATGATCTTGTTTCACACACTTTCTGGTAAAATCTGGTAAAAAGGGTGTGAACACAAGTAACCCAAACCAAAAAGGCATCAGATATTAAGTTGTTTTGTTCATCTTCTTCGATCATGTGTTTTTGGCTTCAATGTTCAGTTGTATGCCACTGTCCATATACTCGCTCTTTCCTCCTGGTTTACTTATGGAGATCTCTACTTCCTGAGGGACTGAGCAGAATCTTGGCATAAACAAGAAAAAGGAATAGAATTATAGCCAGATGGAACATGTATGGCATTGGAGCAGGGTTGGGGGGTTAAAGAGAAGCATAGAGCATCAACAGCTCTACAGCTATGTTTGCTTGACTTTGGGCACTTCAGTTTAGTATTCACATTAGGAAACATCTCAGATGACAGTAAGAATGTTATTAACTTGTCAGGATTGTTGTTATATTCTCTTGGTAAATTGAGATAGTGATATGCTGATGCTGGTGAGGTCTTTTTGCTTTTCAGAAAGGCTAATAAATAATAAAAGCTAATTTATATACATAATTTGTATTGTAAGAATGTTGTTATGTAGAAATGCTCTTTCTTCAGCTGAATTTTTTGACCACAAAGTCCACCCACTTCTGATAGGGCGTGTTAGATTAACAATTCATCTGGTGTTTGGTAGTAAAAAAAAATCAGTCTCTAGTCTAATAAACCTGTAACTTCTAAACTTCTGTAACTTCTGTAAATCATTTTATTATGTCTCATCAGCATTATGCACAGTAAAAGTAAGGACTAAATTTCAGTCTAGCTATGTCAATCTAATCAGTAGTCAACATGCCAGAGGGGATACAAGATGTCTCTCCACTCTGTAGGGAGAATAATAAAGAATGGGAGAGTGAATTAAAAAGTCACTACTTCTAGCAAACCCTTAAATGTTTTAAAGGTTTGATCTCTTTAATTCAACAACAAAAAAAAAAGGCAGAATTCTTTTCACAAGCAGAAGCTAACCTTCCCAAGAACACAAAAGGTCTTTAGTACAGAACAGGAAGTTGCTGGAACCTGGATATTGGCAAAGTCTACATTTGCTTTCAATAATAAGGGTAATTACTGAAACAAGCTGTCATGGAAAGAGCAGATACTTCATTGCCTGACATTATCAGACAGCATGAGGCTACTGGCCTTTCTGGAAAGGATGCATTATCCTAATGCACAATCTGAGAACAGAGCAGAGGCATGACAGGACAAAACAAAAAAGCTGTAGTATTCATAAAATCAGCTGAGGTGCTATGATCATCCTCATGACCTCAACTTTTAAAAATATGATTTCATCTTTCCTCCTATTCAGGCAGGAAATCTCAACTCTGTGTATTAAATCATTTGCCAAGCGCCTCAGAGCAATTCCCTAATAGAAGTAGCAATAAATCCTTACCTACACTCTGCATTCAATACAGTTCGAAGGAAAATGTAGTTGATTAATGAAAAAAGGATTCAGTAAGTCCCAGGACTTGATTAAATGTACTGAGCTATTTGTTACATGTGAAGTGTCTGGTATTACACACAAAAGTTGTGAGACGGATAGAAAATTGTGGATACAGTCACTGTTTTCCTGCTTCCTGCTTTTAGCAGTATTTTTAGAGCAAGAACACTCATATTACTGTTCCATTTCTGTAATCCATATTTGCCTAGACCACATCCTTCTGATCATCTAACTTTCTCTGTAGCATCTCATAGCATAAAAATATGGCTCTATGTAAAGCCTCGAGATAAATATATTTATTATATTAGCTACTCTTTCTTAGGGGCTATTTTATGTAAGAAAATGTCTGAGGGTCACTGTCTTTAGTATCAGGCAGTCTCTCCACGTCCATGCAGGAAGCATGGCCCACAACAGCCCAGGTGAAGGTTCTGCCTCTGGCTGGTAGTCCCAGCACACTGCAGCTATGTCAAGTCCCATACAAAACCAGACCCCTGTTGCCAGTGTCTGGGGGGATCCGGGTCCAATGCATTACCTACTGCTAATGCATACAGAAATAAAATCAAGAACCCTTCACAGCTTGATATCACCTCTGTCCCCACACGTAGGTCATGGAGAGAGCCAGCGGTTCTGCACGGTGACTGCAGGGAAACTGATGAGATGTGTGGGCATCAGCCACAAGCAAATATAAGGTATAAGGACCTAAATGGAATTCAGGCTTTTTGTATTCTCCTGTTGAGCCTCCTGATCCTACAAGAGGCCAAAATGCTTTAAATCAAACATTGTGATTCATGGCAAACACCCATGGCCAAGCAAAAACTGGCAAAGAGAACAGACTTTTCTGTATTTCATTAGTTTTCTAATCTCTACAGTAAGTGCAATGATAACAGGCTCTAGTTAGGTGAAGTACATCCAGGGCTGAAGGAGCACAAATAGTGTGGCAGAAGGGCCACAGAAGTAGCTTGCACAGCACAGTGCAGGTCTGGGGGCTGAGAGCACCTTATCACACAGTAATGAGCATTCCGAGCAGGCTCTTGGCTCTGTTTGCTATGGGCCTGGGGCACAACCTGACCCATTTATCTTGAACAAGTTGTGACAGAGGCTCTCTTCATCAGATTGAAAGCATATTTTCAAAACTGGACACATTTCAAAATGGATGAAGAAACTTTTCTTCTAGGCAGTGGAACAAAATGCATCGTTAATTTCTCATTTTATTTAGGTTTCTGTGAAAGCATGTTATTTGGCACACCTGTAAGGATTTTTGCTGGAACAATGCTAATGCCAATCACCCGTGTCACACAGCTGTCACTCACTCAAGCACAGTTGCCTGCACTGAGTATGCACTGCATTTTTCAAAAGCACAGGTTTGCTGTTTGAAGATTTATTACACAACCCCTGATAAGAACAGTAATCTTTGTTAGCTAATATGGCTGAGAACAGCATACGTATCTGGATATCTGTGTTTGAGATAAAGATGGGATGTTTCACTTTCTGCCACCTACGGAGACAATAACTTCTCCGTGCATGATGGAGGAGGGAGAAAGGGTGCAGCCTGAGGAGGATATGCCCTGTGGCCTGTCTCTGCTTTCCTGGGTGATTATATGTGGAGTTTCATATTTTAAGTGAATTTCCAAGTTATTTTTCCAGTGTGTTTCTGGCTACTGTCACACAGCTGATCGTCACAAGAATATATTTTTTGCTATTTGAGAACACATCTAGCAGATCTGTGCTGTGAGCACTTTAATGCAACTTGATCAAACCAAAACATCCCCAAGTTATCTGTTGTATGCCCCTCCTTGCAGCACATCATACTTTTCCACCAGCTTGACCTCTTCTGTTCCTTGGTCATGCCCGGAAGGGGACAAACTGCTTTCAGATGGCCACAGGTGTGGGGGTCCACTTTCACTAGAACGTGAAACTGAATGAGCAACATCATCAATTTTATTAGAAACCCTGATTGGACAGCCAACATTTTATTATTACACCAGAAAAGGTACAAAAGTGAGCATGAAGACAGATTCTTGACTTACAGTTAGAAATAGCCTATTTTAAAACACTAATATGCATCTGAGTCAATGCAGCTAATTATTACGTTACAGACAGCACATATTAAAAAAAAAACATGTAATTCATGTAAACATTATGGGTGAAGTCTTGGGTGTGATTGAGCTGCACCCAGTACAAGACCCCGTATTACAGAGCAAAAGTCTATCTGGAGATGCTCGAAGTTATATCAGCTTGCATGGTCACTAAAACGCAGGGCACTACAATCTCCTGCCTGCTGCTTGTGAGTCACGCACAGCAAATCATCACCTCACCTACACAGCTGGGGTCAGGAAAGGCTCCCACTGCAGCAGCCTCTGGATGTTTGTCTCGATTCCAATGGATGGCCAAGCTGAGGGCCCTTCATGGAAGCTGGAAAGCTTACACTTATTGCTATACTAAGAATAAAATGCTATCTGAGCCACAACTATGTTTCCAGTAGGATTTTGTCAGTCTTGTTATTTTCTCTTCCCACCTACCCTCTAAATGCATTCTTACAGATGCTGGCAATGCTCTGAGCAGTTTCTGGTCTCTTCTTGGCTTAGATCTGCCATTTCCTAACCAGCTTACTCACTAGAAGGTAAGAACTGCTCTACTTCTTCCATTACTTGCTTTGCCTGCTCGGAAGTGCCACAGCCCCTGGGAGAAAGGCCCAGGGCCTTGCCTGGCTCTGCCTGGCTCAAGGGGACTGCCCAGTAAACAAAACATCCAACCTTTAGATACAGCTACAGGGGGAGAAACTCCAGGTCTTCCTCACTGACTCCTCTACTCTGTACAAATCATGGCATCTATAACATGTGCCAACGGACAATATTCCCTGCTCAGGGAATTTCCCTTCCAGCCCTTCTGAAGCAGCATACAGATCATAGCAAACTGTGTCTCCACTGGCAACTTTCTTTGTGCGTGCCCAAGGCAGCCTCTGCTCTGATGCTCTGTGCACAAGTAGCTACATATGAGGGAACAAATCTTCTGTCCTCAATCATTGAACATGCCTTTGGCCCTTCTGAAACAGCATGCTTGTTTGCCTGTGTGTGTACAGGAATCGCAGCTAAAATACCACCTCCTGCGACTTGGCTGTTAGTATCACAGCAAGGATTCCTGGTTATTGGCTCTGTACATCCATGGTGCTATATATCACTGTAAGCTACATAGTCATGTCCTTTCCAGTTTTGCACACAAATCAAGTCTTACATAGTGTGGAGCACTCTGTTTCAAGGAGCTTCCGTGCTGTTGATGCAAAGACTGCAGTCTGGGTGGCCAGGATTATGTACGCACTGAAGGAGCTGGACTGGCCTGGGAGAAGACAGAAAAGCAAATATTTAGTAGCCACAATAAAGTACAGCAGAGCAACCACACAGGTATTAAATGTAGTGTGAAAGTCAAAGTGTATGTTACACTTGTGCTTATCAAGTGGATGTCTTTTCTTAAGATAACTTTTCTTGCATAATGCTGCAGACATATCTTTGGTGTTTATAGGGGTTGGAGACAAGAATGGATGCCTATGAAGTAAAGCAGGGTGTGAACACTCTGCATGTCAGCTATGCGGTGATAGCAAAAGTAATTACAAAAAGAAGACACCTTTCACTGATCACAGAGTGGCTGCCACACTGGAAGTTCACCATCTTGCTTATCTAGTGATAGCCCTGACTGCTACCCTACATAGCTGTTGCTAAAAACATACTTGTAGGTATGTTTTAGATGTTTTAGATGTTTTGGCACAAGTACATCCCCTTTTTTTGAACTACTTGTGTGAAAACAACAAAAGCAAGAGATAATGACCAGTGTCAATTGCTATATGTCACAGAATACCAGATGCTGAGCTGGTAAGGACCCACACAGTTCTGCCATGACTTCAGTCCAGTCCATCCTAAAGAGTTTTACTGGACATATAAGTTAATCATTTATTATTGCTCTGTATACAAAATAATTTTAAAGTGTTTGTACTGTTCTATATAGTTGCTTATGGATGTTAATTGAGTGCTGACAAAAAGCCCTACTTTTTATTCTATCTTAAGATGTGAATTGTGAGTCACAGTAACAAGTGTGCGAACACATTCTTTGTGAAGTTATGAAGATTTCTTCTTGTGCTGAGCCACCCGGAACCTAAATTATTACGTATTTCCCCTTCCTTCCTTTCTTCTTAGCTTATTTCAGCATAGGCTAGAATAGTTCATACCTGCTTACAAGACCTGAAGTATTGGTTAAAGACTACGGTAGTCCAAAGAGAAAGTGAGTATGCAAGCATCCTAATTCAGTACATTTACGAACCACACCAGTGTTGTTTTTTGCACAATGTGCAGAGCACTCATTATCAGGTTCAGCAGTATCTAAGCAGGGATAGATTGCTCTGCTTTCGCGAATAAAATCCTAGTGCTTCATAAGGTATTTGCAAGGCAAATGTCTCCCTCTGCAGACAACCTTTCCCTTACTTAAAACCAATATCATGAACCCAGTACTTTACAGAAATGTTTACTTAGGAAATGTTCCTATCAAAGTATGAGTTATTTGCTTTGAAAAGCTGTTTTTGGCAGATAAGATATGGTTATTAAGCTTTATGAGTAAAACTGAACTCTAGCCACTTTTTTTAAGGTCACTAGAGGACATTATTCATCTTCATAAAGGTCTCTGAATTGACACAGAGGGACAACGGCTCTCAAGCTTTTGTAACTCCTCAGCAGGCAGGCAGAGATTTCAGTCAAGTCAGAACTTGGGCTTTTCTGTTTCCTGAACTCCTATTTCCTGGACTCACTTGACAATGGGGAATTGTAATAATTACTAATGCCTATCATGTGTTATGTCTCACTCCCTGATAAAGCAGCTGGATGGAAAGGAAATTCAAATTATAGTGAAGGAAATAAGGACTATGCTTAACACAGTGTATTATTTGCATGAAGCTGGAAGGAAAATTCTTTACTTGGCTTTTATTAGTGTACATAAAAACATGATAATATGAAAATCTGCTGCAGGAGGCTGCATTGCTCCTTTGCTGAAGGCAACCGAGCAAAGCCAGCAGCAGTAACACCCTGGAGCACAAGGCAAAGAGCACAAGTGGGAGGCTCAGAGAAGCACATAGCCACTTAAAGAGATGTAATGGAAATAAGAGGGCAATCTGCTCAATTTGCTGTAAACCAGGAGACAATGTCAAGCAGAGAGGGAGATGGGATATCAGTTTTGTTAGCAAGTAGATACTAATGAGAATTACCTGTAATTGTCTTCACAGGTGATCTTAGTGATCTTAAAGTTTCGTTCTTCTAAGATGTTTCTTAACTTCTTTATGGAATAGCCTGAGCAGGAATCCCTGGAGAGAAAAGTCCTTTGTTACTTGTGATCTTTGTATGTATGAGAAGTTCAGCTGAACTCCACACTGCATCATTTCATTTTATTTCAGATAAGATCTCCTAAAATGTGCTGTAAAATCTATTCTGGTTTGCAGAGCTTTGGTTACCACTGGGCCTTTGCCAATAGAAAATATATGATGTTCAATTGCTTAGCTTGTTTGAAAAACTTTGTGCAGGAAAGTCTGTGGAAAATAACTCACTTCCACCCACAAACTGAGATCTTCATGCATTATTTATTTGAATTAGTTCAAGGAGTCTCCAGTTGTAGTGACAGGATTGACACACAGAGCCACTGCAAAAGACTTGTCACCTTGGGGGGAAAAAAAATGACCTTTTGGTACAGAGTATGGGACACAAATGAAGACAGTACTGGGGCAAATCCAGGACTGTTCCTAACACACAGCATTAGTGGAAAACAGCCAGCTGTTCTTCGTTCACAGGATTTACCAGATATTATTAGCGATCCAGTATGAAATACAATTAGAAGATAGAAGCAATACATGTTCTTACAGTTACCTCTCCTTTGCTGTTGAAACAGAAAATTAAGTGGAAACACTTGTGAAGTTGGCACAGGAGGAAGATGTCAAGAAGGCTGGCAGGGCACCAGGTTGCAGCAATTGTTGAGAAAGAGGAATGTAATGGCTTTTCTGATGCTGGGAAATCATGGTACAAAGGACTGAATGTCACATGCAGGGAAATTAACGCAGATTAGCCTGTCCCCTTTTCTCCAGCAAACTACTATGCAGAGGGTCACCACAATGTCTGGTAAGCTACAGAGATGATAGGCACACGACTGGGAGCCTGTGATAGACACATCAGTTTGTGTGGCAAAGAAACATTCCTGAGTGTCAGTGCTTATGCTAGGGGAAGGATTGCAACACTGCAGCTGACACTGTGACTGATAATGTTGCTGCTTGAGTAAGAGTCTCTCCTGGGTCCCTAGTCATTCTTGAGATACACCACAGCCTCCTTACTGACTCACTGTGTCAAAGCAGCTGCCTCTGGCATGTGGGATCCTTAGGAACAGGAGAAACCACTACAATGCATTATAACCATGCGAACATCATCTCTGAAGATAAGGGTCAAAGGCATTGAACCTCACACACAATGTTTGAAACATAAAAGATCTGCAAAGGAATCCGAACAGAATGAAAAATGTCACTCAGGCTCAGATGTGATTTGAGGTCACTGTTTTGATATCAGTAATTGCACTATAAGCATTTAAATTGCATGTTTATTATAAAAAATGTCAGAATCACAAAATCATTTAAGTTGGAAGGGACAACTTGAGATCACCTAGTCCACCCAACGTCAATTAAAGCAAGTTGCCCAGGGCTTTGCTTGGTTTTTAAGATGCCCACAGCTGGAGAGCCCACACACCTCTCTAGGCAATCTTTTTCAGTGTTTTAAATCACTATCACGCTGTCTCTGGTCACAGGACTTTGTAAAAGCAAGGAAAGCATCATCACTGTGTTTTAGCTATGAGCAACAAGCTGTAACTATTAACAGAAGAGTGGTGTGGTTAGGATGACACCTTACAGATTTATAGTTAGAAAGAGTATCATGATGAAGACAATTGAAAATGAAATGAAAAGCTCACCCATCTCCTAGACTTGCAGTAGAAAACTCCAAAAGAAGAGATCTCCAAAAAGAGATCCTTCCCTACTGGCAGTAAGCCCTTAAGTGGGGTCTAGGAGAGGTGCAGCCAGGCTCCACCCCTTCCAGTCACATAGGTGAATTGCCTTCAGCTGTGCTCCCAGGCTGACTCAGTCCTTGCCTCAGGTGATCAATCAGTGGTTCAGGCTGTGACTCAACAGTTCCCATACTAATAAAAACAACTATAAAAATGTTATTCTTTCCAATAAAGTAAGTAGCTAGTAGAGAGAATGCAGAGCAGGTTTTCAGAGTAGGTTTAAGATGGTGGTTAGTGTCAGGCAGTCATTTGGTATCAGAATGGTTTACCTTTGGGGTCCGCCGATGTCATGCATAAGCCAAATACGTATTTCAGAAATTTTATCTGGATTTAAGTTAAAGATCTCAACACTTCCAAAAACGCTGTAAGAATGGGACATGAAACATCCTTAGCAAATGTAAGAATTCTAATAATGTAAATTCTTAATAGAGAATGCTCCCCAACTACTACTGCTTATGAGTGCTGCTGTTATCCTCAGTGAACAAATGTTTTCTTTTTGCTGGATTTTCGTAGACAATTCAATTACCTCTGCTAAAAGATTTTCTCTCCATTCTCATTTTACTTTCATGACAGCTTCTGAAACTGTGTGCAGATAGAAACAAACTCAAGTTCTTCCATCTACAGTACTTATTCTCCTGTTAGTTTTGTTGACAATGGGTTTTGTTTGGTGCAAGGGAAATGAACGTAGCTGTTCTCCTGACCAGAATAGGCTTCATCATTTTGTATGAGACTACTGCCAGATAGCATGAGCAAGCACAGTCTGAAGAGCTCCACAAGCAGTTAGAAGCATGTAATTCCTATAGCATGGTATGCAAACCTAGATTAAATATAATAAAGCTACTTTGTGCAGTAATATCATACTAGAGATCTACCTATATACACTGAGAGGGACTTCAGTTAGAGTCACTGTATAGAAGGAGATAAGTGCATCAACTCTACAGCAGCCAATGTCTTAGATTCCCACATGAATTCACCAAAATCCATTCTGCACCAGAACTCGCTGACAAGAACCTGCTGACAAACACACATGCCCAAAAGAAACAGGGATGCTGGGGATACCTGCTGCTTCTGAAAGCTCCTGCTTCTATTGATCCATTGAGCATCACGTGAACCACACCACATGCTGCTTCTGCAAACTGACCAAAATAAATGGACGTTATAATCTGACACTGCATGCCATGTCTCCAGAGAATTCTCTGACTTCTTAGATGTCATCAGAACTGACTTATACAAGTAGAGAATCTGGACCCTGTTTCTATGTACGTCCTTGCAAATAAAAGCTTCTAAACTCTTACAGCAATACTGACATAAAGCTGCATCACCTTGCTGTCACTGTTTTCAGTTTATAAAATGGGATGCAACTTTCCAGAGCCCCAGCAGCTATAGCTGTCTGATGGGGCTGCCTACTTTCTCAGTAACTCAGTAACTCAATAACTGAGTAATCCTCAGGCTGCCTGGACTCGAGTAGTGAGGATGTGCCACAACCAAAGTACTGCAAGTTTAAGGATGTGCAAACCATGAAATACTTGCCACCTCGTGACTCACACTCTGTGTACTTTTGTGGTTGGGATTTTTCTCTCCAGTGATTTTAGAAAAACTCATGGTAAGTTTTGATTGCTAAATTACTGGATCATGTAATTGTTCTTTTGTTCTTTAAACTTGCGTCCAAATATTTCAAGACCATTACATCACAACATGATGTAGTCACAGTACTCCAGATACATAACCCAAAGGTAGAATAAACAACTTTGAAAAGCTTAATACAGATGACTGTACTTTATCAAACTCACCAAGTCCTTTTACTTATAAGCAATGTATCTCAGAACCAGCTTGAGAGCTTTCAAGTTACAGGAGAGTTTAATTTTGTATAACTTTCCAACACAGTAAGCATGTGTTTTAGCAGATCTTAAATCTTCTTGGAGTAAAAAGCTTGTAGTTCAGCAAGCCTCACTCTGTATGGTGGTCTGTCCCTCCTAGACCCTAGAACTGTACGTCAAAGCTGTTTTGAGCTAGCAAAACTTGGTGGATGCTAGTTTGCATGCAAAACATTTTTTAATGGTGAGAAGATTTTTTCTTACACGCATGAGATATTAAGCACACATTAATGCTTGTTCTACACCTAGAAAGTCATCTATTAATAGTCATATCAAGACTAAAGTCTTCTGAGACACATAAGATTAAACTGATCAAGGAGAGCATTTTTTTTTTTCTGGCAGCTGTGTGAAATGAGCGTTCTGTAAAGTGCTGATTCCACAAAACCAGGCCAACTGCTTAACTCAGTCTAGCAATGTCTCCTTCATGTGATCAGAGCTGGGACACGCATACAGGTGGGCACATCATAGGGACCTTGGAAGGTAACACTGTGGGAGGACATCCTCTTCAGGAGTATGCTGGGAAGGAGCAACAGGACTCTCAGCCACTTGCTGTGCTAGTCTGGGAGCTGCTCTCAGCATCAACAAGTTCTAAGTTTCTATACTTTTGTAATTTCAGTCCTGTGATTTAATTAAGGCTTTTATTATAATTATTACTGTAAGCCTTATTCGTAAAGCTGTCTGCCAAGTGTTGTTCTAGACTCCGGCATGCAATCTCTGCCCACAGTAAAAATGCCCAACTCTGCTGACAGCTCTGATCCCATTATGTAAAGTCTGATAGAAGATTTCCATACTCACACTTGTTGGCACCTAAAGCTAAAACTCATGTGAACTTTTACTTTTCTATTTTTTAAGTCCAATCTGGAAACTCAGATGTTTGACAGTGTCAGGAACTTCACGCCTTTTAACATTCTCAGATGAGAGGAAATTTATTCTACACCTTACCATCTTGGATGCCATTTTCCAGAATACAGAGCCAGAACTGCCTTCACATTCACTCCATTTTGGACAAGATTCATAGTTGATTCCTGAGAAGAAACATATTTATAGAAAAAGACTAGAGTGAATATTATTAAAATGTTAATACAGAGTTGTTCCCTATCAAAACAAGTTGGCTACATGAGGAAGTTCTAGGAGAAAAGAGATTTTACATGTATTCAGAGGTCTTCCTCTTTACTCACACATCTCAGTGAGACAGCTGGCTGCCCCATATGCAAATAATTCTCAGAAAACCCAGTACAGAAACACATATTTCTAAATATGCAGAACAGGTTGGTTTGTGACATATGAATTTCTGACTGTACCAAATTTTGCCCAACATTTCCAGTAATTCCAGCCCAAGTTTACAAGTTTAGAACTTGTTAACATTAGGCATCAACAGTCAGGAATTATGTGGGCAGCATAACCTCAGGTCCCTCCATACTGCCCCCCTCATTTTGCCTGGCCTACAACCAGGACTCTTTTGAATGGAATTCTTATTTTGCAGCTTGTCCCACTGCAGTTAAAAGAAGGTACCAAATGACATAGATAAAGTGATCATTAATCCCAGAAGCATTTAATGTCTTCCTTGTAGTCAAAAAGATGTGTTTTTTAAACTGAATTATTTTCAGAGTTCCGTAACATGGGAGCAGAAAAATGATTGTGGTTTTAAAAGAAAAACGTGAAAATGGACAGTACTTATGTCTATATGTGAGAGAAAATAATAATCTGGAATTCTAGTATGCATATTGGGTTTGCAAAAGTTAGGATTTGTTACCTGGAGCTGAGGGGTCTCCACACCATGAAAGCCCATCAAGCATATAACCCAGGAATGTGTCCTCCAAGGTAAGGAAATGGTGATTGGATTTTGAATAAAGATGAACGAGATCATACGTCCTGCTCCAAAACAGTGACTGCAAAATAAGATACAATGTGCAATAAATAATACTTATACTTGAGCTGGTCAGGAAATTTTCCTGGAGAAGAACAGAAAGTTTTCTTAATTGTGACAGTTCTAGTTTCCTATTCAAATGCTGCACGCCCCCATAAGCAGATTAGTTCTTAATACTGCAGCCCTTCCTCCCATTTCCAAATTTTTGGGGTGATTATTTTTCATGGAAATGGATGCATTCAGCCTGCAAAGCATTTTGAAAGAAAATTTTTTACTAGTTCACATAGCATACAGTTTGTAGAGCACTTTTTGACTACAGATGGGAGAGCAGCTTTTTAGAAGCAGCTTTCCTCTGACAAAAGGACTGCATATTCCTTACCAAGATCTGCAAGCTCAGGAAACAGGGACATCTCTGCAGTGTAACCAGGATGACCCTGGCAAAAATATCAGCCATCCTGGCAAAACAATCAGCCATGTCCATCTACTGACAGTTACTATGGAAAAGATCCACTTCTCAGAGCACTGTGCAGACACATTGCTCCTCAGCAATGCCCTTGTACAGCCCACCGTGCATCCCGCTGTTACCTTGTTGCAGGGTACTGGATGACTTGCCAACTCCATTAAAGGCTGATAATCTTTTGTTGTAGCATTACAGGGATTCTTGTGAATGAATGCAGCTTTTAATGATTCCCATATTTTAAGGCAATCCTTATCTCTGCCGAAAGATTGAATCATCATTAATTTACATTTATTATTAAATATCTTTAATAATTATTAATATTTATGATTGTGAAATAATTTCCTTCTGTTAAATTCAAATACTACAGATAAATTTTTAAAGAGTTCTGACTTGTGCTCAAGTATCAACATATATTATGCATTAAAAAAGCAGAGTATCTTCAGCAAATCAAGTATAAAGTGAGGAACGAGCAGTTCTAAAACATCTGAGCCAAAACTATGCCCAGAGTCTACCTGCCCTCCCAGGTTGCCCAAGGAGGCTGTGGATGCCTCATCCCTGGAGGCATTCAAGGCCAGGCTGGATGTGGCTCTGGGCAGCCTGGTCTGGTGGTTGGTGACCCTGCACATAGCAGGGGGGTTGAAATTCAATGATCATTGTGGTCCTTTTCAACTCAGGCCACTCTATGATTCTATGAGTCTACTGAATTATTATCTTTTTTTTTTTTTTAAACAAAAGCAGAGGCCTGGGTATTTTGGATCTGATATTATTTGCGATTAAGGGCTAGCTTTTGGCTAAGCACTTTGTTGAAGCTATAGCAGATTTGTACAAGTATAGGTGAGATCTGAATCATGCACTCCAACTCCAGGGGATTTTTTTTCAGTCTCTGTATAATAGCAGTTCTGGCCCTTTTGCTCTCACTGGTGTGAGTCAGAGGAATCTCACTGCATTTATATGAGGGGAACCAGTGGATGTCAAAACACACCTCAGACTACATTCATTCCTAGCTCGCTGCTTCATCAGCCTGGTAAATAATGCATGTCTCTGCTCACGGAAACAGGGCTCCTCTTGCACCACACTAACAGGAAACTGGTGCATGGTGCTGACAAGAAATGATCTCTGTGCACCAATTTATTGCCATGTTCCATGACACTGCAGCACATAAGGTGTGAGTCTGCTCAGGGCATCTGATTTCTTATACCTGAAGTAACAACAAAAACCTTACATTACGATGATTCCCAATTACTGCCTGCCTACTCATTTCAGACCCACTCTGAAAGCCTGCCCTTTCACTGACAGCCATCCAGTGATTCTGCAGCTTTCTCTTCCCTTTATGTAAATTCAAAAAGCTGCATTACCCCACTGTCTGCATGCAGAAAGGAGCTGCTCTGGCTAACTCTGACTCATCCACTCTTTCTCCACTATTTGTAATCTCCTCCTGGGTATTCCCGTTGCCTGAAGAACCAGTATGAAGAATGGCCTTTGTCTTTGGTAAAGACAGGGATGCTTTCAGAGCACTGTAAAAATTGCAGGGATCAGTTAGTGTGTGACATACACAGAGCTGCAGGCTTCTCCGTGTGTGCACACAGGTACCTCTGAGTACCTGCGGTACTCAGGTAACAGGCAGGAGGTGGAATGTGATTAACCCTAAAAAAGAGTTCTAAAGGGATTAAGTGAAATTGGTAGTAGTTTACTGAGGATTCCAGAACATTTCACAGCTCTGTGATATTCCCAGTGGGTGGCAACACTGTCCACGGCAGGAGGTTGGAGCTGGATGATCTTTAATGTCCCTTCCAACCTAAGCCATTCTTTGATTTGGTGATTCTATGATTCTTGCTGCTTAATTTGATCCAGATTGCGATTTGAGCATTAGAAAGGTAATGTGAAACACATACGATGAGCTGTTTGTATTACAGAAGGCCATGTCATGACAGTGGGACCCAGAACCACTTCTCAGCTCCCAGCCATTTCCTCACTGTGCTTGGATGTGCCTGGATGTGAACACCCTTTCCTCATTCCTAAGCCTGATGGAGAAGAAACATCACAGGCAGAGAAGGTCTGCTGTTGTTGAGATGTGTCCAGAAGTGCTCCAGCACCTGGCAGCCCCACGAAACATCAGGAGTGCCCCTATCAGATGTGTTGCAGGGCCCCATGCTTGTGTCATGCCAGAAAGGATTGGGCAATCCACAGCAAGTTGTCCTGGCTTTTCTTCCCTTCTGCCTTTTCTTATGCAGTGGCAAACCTAAATTATCATCTTATTTGATAGTGGTTATTTGGTTCAAACTAATTAACGTGGATACTCACTCATATTTGGCAGCTTGATTACAACTTCTGTATTGTAACATGCTTCTTGCCCTTGCCACAAGGCTACAGCCATTCTCATTCCACAGTTGGCTGCCCCAAAGATTTAAGAACACCTCTTGTGTTACAGACAGCTGCTTCTCTGCTCCCAAGATTTATCATCACAGTGTGCAGATTACTTTGCTGTGGTAGGGTCATGAGAGGGAGCATTTACGTGTTTTACAAAGCACAGAAACTAGCATCTCTTGGGCCTCTACAGACCCACGGAGCTGGTTGCTCCAGAGAGCAAGTCAAAGCAGAACTTAACTTGGCATATTATATTTTGTTCTCAAGGAGTTTGTCTCTGGCTGCAAACTCTGTAAGCATCACAGAGAAATCTTCATCACTTTAACTTCTGGTACCTCACAGGGAAATATCTGGGAGAGCAGTGTTCAGCCACAATCCTGACAGCACTGAGCAAAGCTATGTTTAATGTCACAGAGGAGGTAGGGCTTAGCCTTCATAGCAGTGAAGCTCTTCTACACCTGGTAATGAGTGTGGGACTTTTATTTGTACCACACAGAAGAATGATAAGGCATAAAGATGGACTTTCATGAAAACTCAGCAATTCCAGCATTATTTAGAAGTCTAAACACAGATCTTCACAGTAAAAACAAATAAATCCACAAAAGCTAAAGAATATTTCACTACCCTCTCCTACCAACATGTCAATTTTTACATAAGAATAAAAATAACTCATTGGTGTGCTCTGGAAGGCTATTTTTCTGGTAGGAAACACAGGTTTCACCTCACATCTTAAGAGCCAGAGAGAATTATTTTTTGGCTGATACACAGCTGCAGTGAGAAAGCTTTAGGATTTGTGAATCCCAGCTCTGGGAGAGATGGAATTCTTTACAGCTTCACTATTGATGTATGCACTAGAAATAAAAGAAAGAAAACATTTGCCTGCTGTGTAGTACTTAGCACATGCAGCAAAGGTAAGGGCAGAGACATGCTGAAGCTCAGATTCTCCTGAAGATACTATGGGAAGTCTGCTGGCACTTGGTATTGCTAACAATTCTAGAAAGAGCACCTTCCTATTGAAAGATGTACACCTCTCTTGCCAAAAAAAATCTGTGAAATGAACAATTCTCTCAAGGCTGCTGTGAGTACAGAGGAGAGCAGTTCTCCTGGAGCCAGTTGGAAAAGCAATGTTGGCTTTTTCACTGTGCTACAGAGTTTTACCCACTGCATGGCCTGGGCTGCTTCAGGTGAGCAATCACAGCCTCTGCTTTCCCTCTCAGAGCACCACAGGAACACAGCAATGCCTGTGGGGAGACCTAATCCACCAAACCTAAAAAAATCTACCAAGTCAAAGATCCTCCAACTGGTAAGTTTTCCATCACAGAAAGGATTCATTTAATTTGTCCACAGAAGGAGAGCTGGGAGAGAGATTGCCAGGAGACCATGGTGAATGTGCTTGCTTGCCACACAGCTGCAGGACTCATGTTCTTTTTCCCTGGTTTTGGTTGGTTTTGTGTGTTTTGGATTGCATACTAATTCTGCATCAAACAAACACGTGTATTTATTTTTGCAATAATGAGTTTCTTCCCTCAAGGCTAACTTTGTTTACACTGAAATATTTAAGACCTTTTATTCTACTAAAGAATCTGAAATATTTAAGCCAAGTTTCTCTGACAGTTAAAATAAATGCACACATATTTTATGTGTTTGGGTGGTTTTTCAAATGCATATTTTTAATGAGCGTAGTTTGGGAAATGTTGGTAAATTTGAAATAACACTTAACAAGCTTAAAGGGAACACTGGAACCTGCTGTAAAATCAGGAACTGAAGCTGCAGCCTGTTCTCTGGAATACAGGGATTGCAGAACTGGGCCTTACAGCCTTTTTCAAACTGAGGCTCTATATCCTGCACTGAGTACAGCAAGAAACAAGAACTGAGATACAAATACACATCAGCAGCACCCCACTTCCTTCTGAAATAAGAATGTTATGTACACAACAAAATATGTCCTGCATTTTTTCCCTACATCTGAGTGTAGGCTGCGTTTTCCAATGAATATGAGTGTTTCTATCCATTTACCTTTTTTATGAACATCAGATAAATTTATGAAAAGGAATCTGGGGCCAAGAACATTTCCATTAGCAGCTATCCTAGAAGCCAAACTTTAATGTGCATATTATAAAAATGGACAGCTTCTGCATCATTGTTTCTTGCATATCAGCGCACTGACCTGGCTAACCTTGAAAGAGCATCCTCGCACTTAAAGGAATATAATGGCATTGAGCTACCTGGGAAATCACTATTAATTTTGTGTAGTGTTATTTTATTCTTTAAAAAAAAAAAAAACACAAAAAACCTGGACATGACAGAGCACATTCATTCCCAATTGAAATTGATGTAATTGGTATAATATCAGGGATGAGTTTCATCCTTGGTGACTTCAGCTGCACCAAGAAGAACCTCTTGTTTTAAGTTCATCACTGGGCTGACAGTGGAAGCTAAAAACACAAAGAGTAAGAGAGTACAAAGAGTATTTCCTTCAGCTGTGTCACCTTGAGGCTTTTACACAGAAATTTGAGGGATGTTTAAAGTATGGAACCCATTTTAAATTCACAAGTGAAAATGATTCTCATGCTTTGGTCTGGAGAGCTCAGTCGGTCCTGCCCACATTCTTCAAACCCCTCTGCAGGAATGAGAAGCCCCCTGGTGAAACATGGCCTTCTGTGATGGCTTCCCAGGATCCCAAGTTTCCTTTCTAAAACAAAACAATATAGAGAGATTTTAATTGTGGTCTCTCACAGTCTTTGAAGGTAAGGTCCTTTATAAAAGTGGGCTTTGCAGGGATTAAACAGGGCAGGCAGATTGTGAGGTTGGTGTTGGAGGCTCTGGCCTCAGCTGGCAAGTCATGCTGGCTTTCATTAGGGTTGGTGCAGCTTTGTGCAGGCACTCACCCC